ACTGTAATAAATAAATGACCTAGCAATACAGTAAGAGAACGATTAACTCACTTTGTGTACACTATACTTTAGGCTCTGTTCACAACTATGCAGTTTTGCTTTTTGTCTGTTTTGCAGGGTACTTTTTGCAGTTTGTTTGCGTTTTTCTACACGTTTTCAACTCATTTTTTTATGCGGTTTTGACGCATTTTTACTGTGTTTTGTTCAGTTCTTTTTTTTTTATGGAATTTTTTTTCCGTTGCTGGGCAGAATAAAAATGCAAAACGCAACAAAAACGCACTACCATGCATTTCAGAAGATTCTCTCCTATTGTAGCAAAAACGCTGCTTGTTGCTTTTAAAAAATTACCTGACTCTTTCCAAAAATGCAGCAGCTCAAAAAAGCATAGATGTGAACATGTTCCATAGGAAATTATGTTAAATGGGCTGTAGTGCGTTTCTGCAAAAAGCACTAAAAAACCGCATTGGTGTGAACGGAGCTGTATTCACACCTATGCATTGTGGCAACATATTGTAGAAAGATAGTGCAGCAATCTACATTGACACACTATACAATGTGCGACATGTAAGGGTGTCCTTGTGATTGAAAAGTACCACAATGCAAAGTACAGCAGTAGCCTGCAGCACTCCCGCACTCCACATGTACATATCACGTGTTGAAGTGCACTGCATTGAAAAAAAATGCTGCAGGGGATGGTTTTGCCTTCCATTGTCATACCATGGCAGCCCTTTCAAAATGAATGATACATGAAAAAGCAAATGCCAGTAAGTGTGCAGTACCTCAGCAGAATGTTCAAGTGTGATGGGCCAAAGAAACCTGTACTGACAGAAATATGTAAGCCACCATTGCTGGTCTTTTCAAAATGCTCTGTGCCTGAAAGTTTTTAGCTTTAACTACTTGCCCTCCAGAGGATTTACTCCCTTCCTGACCAGGCCATTTTTTGCGATACGGCGCTACATTACTTTAACTGACAATTGCACGGTCATGCAACGCTGCACCCAAATGAAATGTATGTCCTTTTTTCCCCACAAATAGAACTTTCTTTCAGTGGTATTTGATCGCTTGTGCGATTTTTATTTTTTGCACTATAAACAAAAAATGACCAACAATTTAGAAAAAAAAACTATATTTTTTACTTTTTGCTATTAAACATGTCTAGTAAAAAAATTGAAAAAAATCAAATTTCATCATGAATTTAGGCCAAAATGTATTCTACTACGTTTGCTAAAAAAAAAATCCCAATACATGTAAACTAATTGGTTTATGTGAAAGTTACAGCGTCTACAAATGGCGGTATATATACTGGAATGTTTTTTTAAATTTTTTTTTACTAGTAATGGCCCCAATCAGCAACTTATAGCGGTACTGCGGTGGGCATTCTGACACTGGGGGAACTGACACCAATATAGTGATTAGTGCAATGAAAAGCACTGACACTGTAATAATGGCACTGAGCAGGAAGGAGTTAACATCTGGGGTGATCAAAGGGTTAACTGTGTGCTGTTTTACTATGGGGTCTGTGTGTTTCACTGTAAGGACACTGCTTTGTATGGCTCTCCTATGCAGAGCCATACAAAGCAGTGTGCAGGAGCTGACAGGGAAGAGGTTTGTATTTGTTTACATACAGGTCTCTCACCCATCGGAAATCCTCAGAGATCGCCGGGTGCTGGTGGAGAAACACCAGCCGGGACCCAGTAATTGACAGCCCAGCCCACGAATGGCTGTGCAGGTAATCAGTGACCGCGCGTGCGTGCGCCCCCTACCCGGAACTGCAAAATCATGTATATATAGGTGATTTTGCACACTCATGCTTCCCTCTAGCAGTATTTCTGCTATAGGGCGGCGCAGAAGCGGTTACATTTTTTAGGTCTCTGACTAGAAGAGCAGAACTCCAAATCTGTATGCTCTTGATCAGTTAGAAACTACTGGACAAGGGTGACAGGCAATTTGCATTTTTATAAATGGTTCAGAAATGTAAGCCTGTGTATTTCTTCCAGTACATATAAAAGCAGAATGAAACTGCTGGATCCTGGGTGGCCTCTTGCACATTATGGCACACTTATTTTACCAGTGTTCTCCTCCGGTGCTGTCCAAGCCTGGCTGTCAGTCGCTTGCTCCACTCTCCTCCACCACCACTTGTGGGTAATCCCATCCTACATGGCCATTGGACAGCACTCATTCTGTGTAGACTAAAAACAATAAATGCTAAGGAACAGAGGATGTTTTTTTTTTTTTTACGTCTCTTCCGGCAAAAAATGTTACCTTGTAATCTTTCATCAACCACTTTCCCTGGCTGGAGGTCGTAGGACGTCCTGGGAGTGAAGTGGTCATACTGGGATGATGTCTACACCTGCAGGCATCATCACAGTATCAAAATTTACAGCTGGTGATCCCCTTTTAATGATTGGACAGGCAAGCTCGGGACCGCAACGGCTGTACTACACAGAGAGAGAGAGGAACTGAGGTTGTTCCTCCCTCTCCGTAACTCCAGAAGCAACAAGGATTCCATCACTTCCAATTTCAATTCTTGTTCATCCCTTGTGATAGCCATACAGTTAATTAAAAAAAATGAGTGTGTAAAAAAATAAAAAATAAAATAAATGATTAAAAAAAAAAATGTAAATCAAATTTTAACCCATATGTAAATGGTGATCGCACCCACACATGTGAAGTATTGTCACGAATGTCAGAGTGAGAGCAATACTTTTAACTCCAGACCTCCTGTGTTCCTCAAAAATGGTAAACTGTAAAAGCGTTTACAGTATCGCCTATAGAGGATTTTAGGTACGGTTTGTAAGGCGCTGTTGCACGGGTGTATGCAATTTCAAAGCATGACAGGTTAAGTATCTATTTACCCAGCATAACATTTTTTTATATTTACAAAAAAATTGGGTATTATATAGTGTTTGCGTGCAATAAAATTCAATAAAGTATATTTTTTCCAAAACATCTACATTTGAAAAACTGCTGCACAGATACTGTGTTGCAACACCCACCTTTTTATTCTCTAGGGCCTCTGCAAAAAAATTTTTTAATAAATAATGTTTGGGGGTTCTAATTGATTTTCTAGGAAAAAAAAAAAAAAGTAGATTTTTTACATATATACAGTATATATAGTCAGAATTGGCCCAGTAAATGGTTAAACTTTACCTAGGGGAAATACGGAGGATTCTGTTGCTGATCTTAAAACACTAGTTGCCTGGCCTCAGTATTATGGTGTCCTTTTATCATGCAGCAGTAAATGACTGCTGCTCAGTTCTCGGGCATTCTCAGAGGAGAGAGTTCTCCTCTGAATGCCTTTTTATGAAGCTGTGTAGATCACTTCTCTGAAAGAAGAGAGAAGCAATCTACAAACACTTTGAACGCTGGAAAACGGCTGCTTTTACTATAATTTCGAGAGATTACAGTAAGAGATCAGTCAAACACCATTTACTAAGCAGCGGTAAATTATCGCTGCTTCGTTTGCGGTTCCTCCGATTCTCCACCTCTGGGCTGGAGAATCTGGAGGGAGAACACAGATCTCCATTGAAGGCTGATATCGGTCCATCATACACTGGCCGTCTGTGCTGAGATGATCAGCAGAGAACATGTTCACCACTGATCATCTCTGTTTCCTAATCCACTAATGATCGGAGATCAGCAACGATCCTCAGGATCACCGCTGATCTCTGTTTCATAAAAGGACACCTATATCAGTCTCTGAAGCGGTAGATTCAAAAAGTTGGAGAAGTCAGTCTTTATCCACATAAGTCCTCATGCACACGGGATGTTTTTACAGTGGCTGTTTTTGGCTTTTGACGTTTTTTTCTACAGCCAGTAAACCCCCCCAGCATGTTATCCTATGTGTCCATGCACACATAGACTGTAATCAACGTTTTTTGGCAGGGGAGTTTTTTGGCTGGAAAAAAAACCCAGGACTAGTGGGTTCTCTAGAGGAGTTTTTTAGCTGTAAAAATGCTCTAATGCTGAAAAACGCTGTAAAACGTGGTAAATTGTGACAAACCAGCATATTTGCATGTTTTTTGATCCCCCAAAATTTATTTTTTTTAGTAAAAAGAAACTCTAAAAAACAAAAATGTGAGCAAACACGGCAAAACGCTAATACAAAACCGCTGAAAAACCTCACGATTTTAACGTGACTTTACATACCAGCGTTATTAAAACGCCCAGTGTGCATGGGGCCTACTTGTTCGGGGTTAGCAACTCAAGGTATCTAGAAGAGTTAGAAAAGGCAGTCTCTATGTTTCAGTCAGTAAAGGTTTCCTTGAGTCACTGCTTGTGTCGGGGAAAAGGTCGGTGTGGAATTGGTAATTAGTAAAAATGCCATGCCAAGCAGATGCCTTTATCAATGGGAGTTCCATATACAGCATTATCCACAGACATAAGAGGAGGCTGGCTTTTAGGGCAAAGTTTGAGGGCCCGTTCTCACTGCCCGCACAATAAACAGGAACATTTTGTTCTGGCTTTAGTGAGCCACGGTGAGGGGGTCAGTGGGATGCATGTTTCAGCACATCACACAGTTCCCTTTTCTTCTCTTTATTTGAAGTGCTCAAAGTGCCAACAATCCATGTCACTGTGTTCTGCTGTGCATTGATACCCAGTGCACTGTAATAAAATGCAGCATATCTGCATTTTTATCGCAGCTTTGCACCACTCCTCCGGGCTGCAATGCAGTGCAAATGGGGCACAAAGAAAATAAATTGTTATCTATGTGCCCTAGTGGTGACTGGTGTTCTTTCAATACAAAAAACACCACAATACGTGTGACACAGGCCCTGAAAGACAACAATCTTTAATTCCTTACAGACATATATGTGCACTTAACTATTGTATTAAGGTTTTTACATCTTTTTATTGAACCAGAAAAAAAAATTTGTGTACCGAAGTTTAAAAATATTTTGAGCTAGTAAATTACTTGGGATAACCCTTCCTTAGTAGGTCTAGGAGCCCTGTAATGGATTTTACTTGACAATCCTGCTAACCTTTTTACATTTTGTTTTGCAGAACCAGTGTATGTCCCATTCCTCATCGTTGGGTCCATATTTATTGCCTTCATCATTGTGGGCTCTTTGGTGGCTGTCTACTGCTGTACATGCCTGAGACCAAAACAGACCTCTCAGCAGCCAATGAGGTTCACCTTGCGGACTTACCCCCCGGAATCTCTTCCTATGATTCTCACCGGTACTGGTTTACGGACTCCATCGAGACAGTCAAGCACCGCCACTAGCTCCACATCTACTGGAGGATCAGTACGCAGACTCTCCTCTTCCAGGACAGACCCTGGCTGCCTAGTAAACCTCACCACCTCCTCCATACTCTTCTGCACACTCCATCCATCTGAATCCATCATCTGCTTTTCTGGTCTCCACACAATACTTCTCTTACCCACTCCAGGCAGATGGAAACTCAAACAAAACCTGTCCTGATTTCCGGCAGTAAGAGGAACTGTTGAGCTGTGGAGCTTCTCTACACCAAGACAATTAATGTTGTGTTGGACTAAACTACCTTGTGTGACAGCACTGTCAGATGGAGAAACTAGACTGACCATCACATAAATGAAAAATGACAGTGTGTGTTATACCTTTCATAATGTCAGTAATTTCTGTGAACAGAAATTAATGGATTTCAAGTAATAAGTTCACTAAATGATAAATGACACAATGCTTAATAATATCTACATGCATAATAGCAGCATATAGAAGTATGTGCAGTAAGTACTGAATAAACTCAACACCAGAGCTTGGCTTTCTTCGAGGCAAGGAAGACACTATTACTTGGAGTTCCTAAAGGATGGGGGTGCTCCTCTGAGACCCTCACCATGTCCAACCTGGAACCACACAGCCTTTATCTCAAAATTTGCCAGATTCCACTTCTTCAACAGAACAGTCTATCAATATGCTTTCTGAAGAAGTGAATGGAGTCTGATACATGCACACATTGGTAATGCGATGTATGCATAGTCTGAAAAAATTTAATGTGAGAAGATGTGGTGGGTCAGGTGGGGCACAATTAAAATCTATTTGTGGCAAATACAGGAGGAAATAATAGGTTCAATATAAGTTTACCTATCCTGGTACAATAGAGGTTGTACCTATACAAACCAACATTTCCCACAACCCTCCAGCCCTCCTGAGCTAAACTAATGCCAACACCCCAGACAGCTGCTTTATTACCATTTTCCACTTTGGAGTCTACCTTCTCTGCAAACACGTTCTTTTCAGTGCTGGCTATAAAAAGTTGAATAGAGCCATACACCGAGACTGGAGACCCTTGGTACATGGCCTTATTCAAGTCAATTGGTAATTGGTGTGCAGACGAAGGCCTCTTCGCAGAAGTAAGCTCCAGAGTCAGCTGCAACTGTGATACAGAGTTAAGCAGGGGGTACAGAGGTATTAGTGCAGTTTAGCTCAAGAGGGCTAAATGTCCACCTTAAATACATATTTGTTTACAGTTTAACCTGCTAAAGGATTAGTAACTCTGCTCAGCCAGTCTTGTGATTCACACACAATTTTTACCCTGCCGTGCCAAACAGGTGACAAATGTAGTTACTGTTCAAGCAGTTCATCTTCCTAGTTCAGTCATGCAGCATTGTGTGTTACCTCTTCACCTCCAACCCATTCTCTGCATAAATCACCTCTGTCTAGTGAGTATAAGTCCTCATGCACACTGGACATTTTTACAGCTGCTGTTTTTGGCTTTTAATGTTTTTTTTCTACAGCCAGTAACCCCCCAGCATGTTATCCTATATGTCCATGCACACAAGACTGTAATCAACGTTTTTTGGCAGGGACGTTTTTTGGCTGGAAAACAAACCCAGAACTAATGGGTTTCTAGAGGAGTTTTTTAGCTGTAAAAATGCTCTAATGCTGAAAATGTGGTAAAACACCGCAAACCGGTGTATTTGGACTTTTTTTGACGAAAAAACGGTTTTTTTCTGTAAAGAAAAAAAAACACTAAAAAAACACAAACGCAGAAAAACATGGCAAAACACCGCTAAATGCGAATGCAAAAAAAGCTGAAAAACTCAAGTTTTTAAACATGACTTTACACAGCTAACGTTACTAGTGTTCTCAAAACACCCCATGTGCATGGAGCCTGAGAAGACAATTGCCTGACAGCCATTTTATCCTTTACCTTCTGTATCCAAAATGGCAAAAAAAATTGCATTTATATAGACTTTAAGATGCAGACTGACCATACTGATCAGCAGAGATTTGTGTATCACAAGAATGCCTGGACACAATTCCAAACTCACTGGAGGTAAACCAGGAAACAAATATGTATTTCAACTGGGCATTTCACTTTTGCCTAGAGCTTCATTTCAACATTATCCCTGTAAAGTCTGCACAATAGATCCAAGCTATGTGAAATCTGTGTCCCTGTAACAATATAAAAGATTAAATCGAAGGTTCAGTTTTGGGATGACATATCTTTACAGTTTGTAAATTATTGTAAGTATTTCAAGGAAAACTGTAGTCCTTTTACAGATTTTATGATATATATGTGAATGTGATCAATTTAAACACTGGGTCACCTTAAAAGTAGACTGGACAATAGACATACGTGACCTAACATACTTAGCAGAATAGCTCAGAGGACACCATCATGCAAAGCGTTCCCCATATCACTGCTGTACAAGAATGAAAGATTTGGATAGAGTGGTGAGGACTTAGAAGCTATGTCAGGTTTATATTGCTGACCCTTTCTTAAATAGCCCCCATTCATACTTGTACAATTTTCATACATCTGTAAAACAGACATCACATTAGTCTCTCTAGTTCCTGTTCACATCGATGCAATATGGTGTACACACGTTTTGGTGCATTTTGTCTTCTGCACCTACAGGGAAATAAATACAAACATGCTACACAAACTCACTGATAAGCGCATGATTATGTGGTGGTATTAATGTGAACTTAGGCTAAGGGAGATTCACTTTAATTGTCTTGATAAGCAATGTTGCCAGGAATGAAAGGGACAGGAACATCCACAATTTTGAGTTCCCTCAATTTTCATAGACTTTAAAATGGTTGACTGGACAGAAAGGAGTTGGGGATAGGGCGAGGGTAGACACATAGGCTGACGATTTCACATGTTTGGTTTCTGGGTTTCTCGGTAGCTTGGCATGGAGTACTCATGGCCATCAGCACAGGTTTCTTGCAATGTCTGCTGCCCAATTAGCACTGTTTAGGAGATCACAAGTTCACCTCTATGTAAATAATCTTATCTGTATGTGTTAATGTCTTTTTGTTCTTCTGTACAGTTTGTAAAAATATATATGTACTTTTGGGCAGCCATATTGGTTTATTATATATGAAACTTTGTGTCCTACACAATTGCTTGTGATTCATTACTCACCTCTCTTTCTGGTCTGACTTGACTGAAAACAACACATAGGGGTTGAGTTACTAAAACTGAGTGTGCAAAATCTGGTGTGGCTCTGCGTAGAAACCAATCAGCTTCAAGTTTTTTGGGAGTTTTTTTTGTCAGAGCTGAATTGAACAAGCTGAAGTTAGAAGCTGATTGGCTACCATGTACAGCTGCACCAGATTTTTCACTCTCCAGTTTTAGTACATCAACCCCATAGTACTGAGAAATATGCAGACGGTCATTTCTGACCTCCAGAAAATACTAGTTGTCTCACTGTCTCTAGTGCCCACAAGTTACAAGCCTAATATGAACATGCAGTAAATTAGGTTAGAACTGCTGGTCAGTGCATTTGTTCTGGGTTTGCCAGGCAGCTCATACAACCCCTGGCAAAAAGTATGGAATCACCACCACTCTTGGAAAATGTTCATTCGATTGTTTGTGTAGAAAAAAAATATACACATACATGCCTCAAAACTATTTTCATTTAATATTCCAACCTTCTGGCTTTAAGAAACACCTAAAAAAATTAAAGCAAAGAATGAAAACTAGCCAGTTGCAACTGTTTTTGCAGATCAAGCAGAAAAAAAAATATGGAATCGCTCAATTCTGAGAATATTATGGAATCATTATGGAAAACACTACAGTACATCACTAGTACTTTGGTGCCCCTGACCTTTGTGCATATACCGCAAGGCCATCCTGATTGACTCCTTGGTGGCCATATCAGATCCGGATGTAAGTTTTGTTTTCACTCTGTAGATGTTGGAATTTTGTGAATTAAAGACCTACTACACTATTGGAAGTTTTCTCTGGGCTCATCATTTCCATGGGAGCCCACTTTTGAAGGTTCCTGATGACCTGGATTGGTGTGTGACCTCTCCCTCCCCCGCTGATGATTGGCATGGTGGAAGGTTTAAGAGTACACCTAGACTGATGACATCTAATGGCCTACACGCCGATGACATCTTCCTGATATTACAAGTCCAGAGCACCAGGAGCAGGTCTTAATTGCTCCACGCACAGCTAATGCGCTATCTGGTTAGTGCAATGTTTGTACACTCTCAAGAGCACAAGAGTCACGGTTATCCTTCTATTGCAGATTTATGAACACACTTGCACATAATCACTTCGCTTTACCACTATGTATGGACTGAGCTGCTGAAATATGATATTGTGCAATTTCTGATTTATTTGATTCTTTACCTGATTTTATATTATTTATATTAGCGCTGCATACTTATGTTACATTTCTTATACTGGGTTTTAGAGGTTGCCTTTTATGCTAGCAGCTTGATATTATTGTTCCCAGCGCTCAATTACCACTTTTATATAGTATTCTTCATCAATCCAGCTCCAACGTTATCTTATTGCAGGTGGGAGCCTTGTGATGAACCATTTATTTTAATTTCCACCATAGATTTTCAATTAGATTGAGGTCCAGACTATTTTCAGGCCATCCCATTGACATTATGGGGTTTATTTACTAAAGCTGGTTCACTCAGAATCTTTTGCAGTTCTGCATAGAAACCAATCAGCTTACAGGTTTTATTGCTAAAGCTTAATTGAACAAGGTGAGGTTAGAAGCTGATTGGCTACCATACACAGGTGCACCAGATTCTGGGTGAACCAGCTTTAGTAAATAAACCTCTATATGTCTTTTGCCCTATGGCCACATGCATTATCATTGTGAAAAATGATGTCCTCATCACCAAACATCTTTCAATTGGTGGAATAAGAAAAGTGTCCAAAATCTCAATATAAACTTGTGCATTTATTGAAGATTTAATGACTGTCATCTCCCCCGTACCTTTACCTGACATGCAACCCCATATCGTCAATGATTGTGGAAATTTGCATGTTTTCTTCAGGCAGAAGACTTTATACATTTCACTGGAATGGCACCAAACAAAAATTCCAGCATCATCACCCTGCCCAATGAAGATTCATGATTCATCACTGAATATCACTTTCATCCACAGTCCACGATTGCTTTTTTTTAGTCCACTGCTTTTTTTTAGTCCACTGTAACTTTGTTTTTTTTAGTTTAGGTGTTAAT